GTCGCAATAAGGGCCACCATGGGCTGCTACTGTTCCATTGCCTTGGGGGCCCCAGGCAGATCTGTGCTCTGCTGAGGAATTCTCCCTGAAGTCATTTTTAAAGTTCTGGTCTTGCTTCTTGTGAGGAGTTTGTGAAGGAAGTGTTGGAGGTCCTGGAATTTAGAGCAGAAATGTCAGGGGCACTGGGGACAGATGTCACACATTTTCTGCTTTATAATTTCTGATCCTAAGGAGCCTTCAAACATAACCCTACAAAGTTAAGACTCAGTAATTTCTTCTCAGCACCAGGCACCTCCCTAAAGTCAGAAACCCTCAATCTTGGTTTCACTTCAAAATGTCCTTTTGCTTTGTATGAACTAACATTAGAAATTTTGAGTGTCTACTCCCAATTCCTGCATGTAAGAATAGTTTAATGTATCTGGTTATCTCACAGAATTCTTCAATGAATAATGCCATAGGGGAGCTTAGAACATTGCCCATTGTATAGGAAGGTCTCCATTGTTCCCTGATTTCTTAATGCCTATCGTGTTATAATTCTGTCTTGTTCAGTCCGAAGTGCCTGGGCTTTGGCCTTCTATGTTTTCCATTTCTGAATAGATCTTTGTCAGATTAGTGGTTTTAGATTTAGAAGTGCTGATACTCCGTGCTCGAATGAAATCCGTTGGTAAGAAGTGAGTTGTAGAATTATTGGGTTCCCATATTTCAGAAATTGCAGTTTATCAGTCAAAAAATAATCATGAGATTCATCAGCATGTATCTCTCAATCATGTATTTTAATCCCAAAAGATTGATTTTATAGATACTTGATTCTCTGATATTTTATAACTTCTTTGTACTTTTGTTTAGGAGTGAAGGGTTTGTTTTTCTCTCTGGAAGATGATTACAGGCCATACATTTTGTGTTAGAATAGCAAAATATATTATTAACAGAAATTTTCTTCAGTGTGTTTTAAACGGTTATTTATTATAATTTTCCTTAGAGCTATTCATGAGTGATTCTAATGCAGTGCCTGGGAAATTTTCCTTTCCTACAACTCGTATTCCGATGATTGAGAATGCTTGCTCTTTATGGGCCCACACTGACAGTGGAAACGCAGTTCTACAGAAGGATTCTTCTCAATAGTACATCTGTGTAGTGTTCACAGCTCTGGGGATCCTTTGTTTCTTATTCTCATGTTGTAGTTCCGTAACAATGTGTTTTCTTAATTTAGTTATTTGGATTTTTGGCTGTTACTTATATATATGAATGTGAATGACAGTTTTCAGCTCAGTACACTAAAGACAACATGGGGTTTGATTCACATATGAATGAGGTGTATGTCTATTGCCATTAAAATTATGTACATGTTTGTATGATTTTACTCCAACTTTGTGCTTGAGTCATCTTGTTTATGTCTTTTGTTAGTTAATGGTGAGTGCTTTTCTTATCCTGTGCAGTTAAGTAGTTGTGGTAGTAGTCTTTTTTTTTTTTTTTTTAAAGATTTCATTGGGGAATTGGGGAAGGGGAACAGACAAGTTGCTGTTGTTTTGTTCTTCAGTCTAGTTGTGGAGGACGTTGCTTCACTGGCCCAAGTTGGCACCATCATTGCGCTCTTCCCTGGTGAGGCAGATCAGGCGCCGGCTTCTGGACGGCCGCTCACTGCGGCTGCTGGCCGCTCACGCTGGCTGCTGGCTACACACGGTAGCCCATGGCAACCCACTGCCACAGGGGCTGCAGCCTACGCTGTCGCCGGCAACTCAAGGCAGCCCAGCTCCAGGTTGAGCTGTTGTTCAGCATCTTAGCTGTGGAGGGCAGTGTCACTGGCCCTCATATGTGGGATCCGAACCGGGGCCCTCTGGCATCCCAAGCGAGTTCTTAACCATCGCGCCACTCGGCCGGCCCGGTAGTAGTCTTAATTTAACATCTGTTTACTGATGATTTTATATTCTCTTTTGAGAGAACCACTTTTTGAACTCAGAGTAATTTTTGAAACGTTTTATAGCTATATGCTTTTTAGATAATATTTTTCATTTTAAATTTTGGTAAAAACATGTTACTAAAATTCTACCCTCTGTCACTGTACAGTCGAGTCGTGTTAAGTATATTCACATTGATGTGCAACAGATCTCTGGAAATTTTCATGTTGCAAAACTGATTGAATACCCATTAAAGAACCACTTTTGTCATTTCCGTTCACCCTGAGCTTTTGGCTGTCCCTTTTTGTTGTATGAGGAGGATTGCATTAGGCGACTCACTGAAGTGGACTCATATAGCATCTGTGTCTTTCCGACTGTTGAGCACTACTTCAGCGTCCTCAAGGTTTTTCTGTGTTGGAAGCACCTGTTTCCATTTCAATGCAGAATAATATTCTGTTGTATGTATTCTCCATTTTCTTCCCCTGTTCATCTATTGATGGCCATTTGGGCTGCTGCTACCCATTACGGGTTTTGTGGATAATGCTACAGTGTGCATGGGTGTGCACATGGCTCTTGCAGAGCCTCCTTTGAAGTCTCTTGGAAATGTACCCAGAAGTGCGAAGACTGCATCATAGCACAATTCTCTATTTTTTATTTTTTGAAAGACCTTCATGTTTTCATACTGTTTGCACCAATGTTATTTCATCCAAGAGTCCATAAGGGTCCAATTTCTCCACATTTTTGCCAACACTTGATATTTTGTGTTTCTTTGATAGTGGTCATTCTAATTGTTATGCAGTGATACTGTGTTTTTTAACTGCAGATGCAAACATTTATGTTCTCATAAGAGCATGTCAAACTACTGGAAAGACATCTGGTCCTGAGATCAGATAAGTGGAGAAGCAGGAGATTGAGGAGGACATTTATGTTAAGAGCACTTTTACATAAAAATAAGATGGAGTAGAAGTTACAGAGAATTCCCACATGCCCCTCCCACATATACAGCCTTGCCCATGTCCACGTCACTTCTACCCCCAGAGGTACATTTGTTACACAGATGAAGCTACATTGACACATAATTGTCACCCAGAATTCATAGTTCCCCTTGGGGTTCACTGTGGGACTGTGCATTCTGTGGATGTGGACACATTTATGATAATGTGTCATACACAGTAGTGTCCCAGCCCTGAATATTCTCTGTGCTCCGTCTGTCCATCTCTCCCCCCAAACTCCAGCCAGAATTGATCTTTTTATTGTCCTCATCATTTCGCCTTTTCTAAAATGTCATAGCTGGAATCATAGATTATGTGGCTTTTTCAGATCGGCTTCTTTCACTTCATATGTATCTAGGTTTCCTCCATGTGTTTTCATAGCTTGATAACGTCTCTCTCTATAGCACTGAAGAATATTCCATTGTCTGTATGCACCTCAGTTTTCTCCTCCATTCACCTCTTGACAGACATGTTGGTTGCTTCCTAGTTTTGGAAATTATGAATAAAGCTGCTGTGAACATGTGTGTGTGGAGTATTGGGTGGATACATGTTTTCGTCTTTGGGTCACTACTGAGTAACACAATTGCTTGATCGTATCAGGTGAGAGGATGTGTAAGAACCACCAAACTGTATCCCAGAGGCTGCAGCATTTTGCGTTCCCACTGGCAGTAGTACGAGTTCCTGCTGCTCCACGTCCTCACCAATACTTGACATTGTCCGTGCTCTGGGTTCTGGCCCCTCCTATTAGGTGTGTAGTGGTGTTTAATTTGCTGTGTGTTTGATTCTCGTTGTTTTCATGTGCATTTCCCTGGTGACATGATGTGGAGCATCTTCTTACATACCATTTTGTCTTCTGTATGTCTTGTCTAGTGAGGTGTCTGTTTAGGGCTTTGGTCCATGTTTTAATGAGGTTGGTAGTTTTCTCATCGATGAGTTTGAAGACTTCTTTCTGTGTTTTGCATAGTAGACCTTTACAGGTATTTCTTTTGCAATTATTCTTTCCTAGTCTTTGGCTAGTTTATCCTAGTTTTGTACTCTTGATGATGACTTGTTTGTTTTTTTTTGCTCGTTAATATTTGATTTGAAACATGGGAGTTCAAGTTAAACTTCGATTTGAAAAAAGAAACTTTGTTAAGAATTCGTTTTGGAAAAAATGTGAAGTGTATGAAATTAAATTTATATTTAATAACATTTAAATTCTAATTCCAGTTGTGTGTTCATTCCTGGAATAACTCAGAATGAGTCTCGTGTTGATGAAGATGAGGTTGCGTTAAATGTTCTGACAATATTATAGATAAACTCTAATGAAATCTTTGAATTAATTTCTCGTTGTGCAGCACCATGGTGTTTTTTTATTTCATTATACTAGTAATACATGCTTGTTGGAAAAAGTGAAACAGCAGAAGGAGTTATCAAAATTTTTATTGTGGTCCAAAATGGGATCAACTGTTTTATGCATTTATTTATTTCCATTTTTAAAGTACAGGCGGCATACAATGTAATATTAATTTCAGAGATACAACATGGTGATTCTTTATTTACGTAGTTTATAAAGTGATCATCATATGACTCAAGTAACACCTGTCACCTTACAAGGCATCATGATATCGTTGAGTATATTTCCTAGGCTACATTACATCCCGTGCCTTATTCTTTTCATAACTAGACGTTTATACCTCTGATTCCCCTTCACCTGTTTTGGCTTTCCCCATGGTCCTGTCTTCTCTGGCAACCTCAGTTAATTCTCTAACTATGAATCTTTTTTTGATTTGTTTTTTCATTTCTAATTTTTAGCTTCCACATATCAGTGAAATCGTATGGTGTTAGTCTTTCTCTGTCTATCTCACTGAGCATAATACCCTCTAGTTCCATGTACGATGTTTCCACTGGCAGGATTTCTGTTTTTCTCCTGGCTGAGAAATACTCCATTGTTTACATTTATCAGATCTTCTTTATCCATTGATTAATTGATAGTCATATATATCTTGTCTGTTGTAAATAATGTTGCAGGGGATGTAAAGATACAGATATATTTTTGAATTAGTATTTTTATAGTCTCTGGATAATGCCCAGAAGTGGAATTTCTGGGTCATATGATAGTTATGTTTATAATTTTTTAAGGAAGTTCCGTGTTGTTTTTGGATACAGCACTTTTTACATAAATATAGTTGTTATATCTTCCTGTTGAATTTACCCTTTTATCATTATATAATGTCCTTCTTTGTGTTCTGACACGTTTTGACACTTACTGTGTATTTGCCTAATATTATTATGAGCAACTGTGCCCTTTATTGGTGATCGTTTCTATGGAATACATTTTCCATCTTTGACTTCGGTCCCATGAGTGTCTCCACATCTACAGTGAGTCTCTTGTACACAGAAGGTAGCTGGATTATATATTATTTCCTAATCAGCCAAATCGTGTCTTTAGATTCAGGGAGTTTCATCTGTTTTCATTTAAAGTAATCACTGAGTCGGAGGGAATACTATAACCATTTTTGAATTATTTTCTGCTTTTTGTTCAGCTATTTTGTTCCTCGTTCCCACCTCTGAACTGGGTTCTGTTGTCCTTGATTTCTGTTCGTAGTTGCATGCTTTGATTTCTTTCTCAATTTCTTTTAGTGTGTCTGTTATAGGTATTTTATTGTGGTGACCGTAGGGGTAACTGAAAACATTGTTAAAGTTGTGACAGTGTTTTTTGAGTTCTTGGTGAGGTAATTAATAGCTATATTAATTTAGGGCTAATTCCTCAAGAATTAGTTTTTCCTCTGATTGGACCATGTTTTTATGTTATTTTGTATGTCTTGCGATGTTTTGTTGAGGCTTTGGAGAAGAAACAGCCACCATCCCAGGCTGTGTCGTCCTGCTTTGTACTAGAGAACACACATAGCAGGCAGCTGTGCTTGAAATTATTATGCCTATGAAACAGTTTCTATGGATATGTATGCTCTGTGTTGTTTGCATGTAATTTTCCGCTTTGAAATGTTTTCGTTTCTTCTTTAGAGGCAGTGTTTTATTCCTGTCCGTGATGATTATCTTCAGTACTGCGCTCTTAGTGGTGTTTGAACAATTACTTACCGTTTTTTCTCAGTGGCCACCACAATGCATTCACATTGCACTGCCATTTCCTTAGCACTTGTGTTATGCAAAAGATAAACAAGTCCCTCAGGTGGCTGCAAAAAGGGAGTCCATTGAACATGAAGTTCACCTCTGGAGAAGAAACTGGCATTTTGGGTTTTCTCACAACATTGCCATGTGTGCCAGGGAGGGTACACAGTATTGTTGGCAAATGTAAGCAACTTTTCTTTGATGTGATTCTTTAATGTGGCTTGGTTGTCTGAACATGGTTTCTGAGTACTCACAAAGCCAATTATGTCAGTAATTGTTGCTAAGTTTATGTCTTAGTGGAGGATGGCAGTTTTGGTGTTTCCTCTTATGCCGTCTTGTTCAGTCCTGTAATCAGTATTAAATTTTTCTGTTAGAATTGAAAGTATATTCACTTGCGTGTAGTAAGAGTGATAATTGATCGGGTGTCTTTCAGCTATGTCTTCTGAGGACACCTTGGACCTGTTGCCAAACCCAGGAATAGAAGATTCATCCCACAAAATGCTACTGGTAAGATATGGAAAGTGCGACCTTGACAATCTGCACTTAATGAAAGAGTGGGAATATGAGGGGAGTGTGAAGGGCTGAAGGATGTTATTGTGGACATAACAAAACTGGGACAGTTACTCATAGTAAAATCCCCATTGCTAAAGAGATCAGAATATAAAAAATATTGTGAAACCCTGCACTGTAAGGCAGTTTCATTAGCAGAACATTTGTTTCTGGATGTAAAGATGGAAAATAATTTATTAAAGATGTATACTCTTTGAAGGAAAATGTGGAATATATGGGAAGCTATGTAATTCATGGTGAAATAATCACTCGAATCATTTAAAATGTAGGAGTAGATTAAACTTTCAGTCAAACACCTAAAAATCAGAGATTTTAAAATGAAGGTAGAAATTCTAAATGTGCTTGATTTTACAATCGTTTAACCAGGCTTTCATTATTCTTTCACTCAGGAACAATCCATCCTTGTTCCAAATTCTGTAATTTTTATAAATATGGGAGGGTATTTATACAAGTATCATGGTTCCATAAGTGTCATGGGTAATGGGGAACAAGTTTACCTGTTTAATGAAATTAGAGCCTTCACTAAAGGTTGTTCTGTTTTTATTTATTCCCAGAGTACGTGTAATGAGAGAAGTTATCAATTCAGTGAAGCTTTGAAAAACTTTAAACAAGCATCAGATCCTAATAAGCATCAGAGATTTCATTTTCTAGAGAACCACTGTACACGAGGCAAAATCTGTCATGAAAGCTCCAATCTTACACATCAGAATAGTTATACTGTAGAGAAGTTAAACAAATGCAGTGAATATGACAAGTTTTTGAAACAATCATTACATTTTACTGAACATGAGAATATTCATACTGGGGAGGAACCTTACAAATGTGTTACATGTGGGAGAGTCTTTAGTCGATTATCCAGTCTCAACGGACATAGGACAACCCATACTGGAGTGAAGACTTACAAATTTAGAGAATGTGACAAAACGTTTACTCAGTGTTCAGATCTTACCAGACATAAGATGATTCATACTGCAGAGAAGACTTACAAATGTAGAGAACCTGGGAAAGCCTGTAATTGGAATTCATCTTTTATTAAATATAAGAGAATTCATACTGAAAAGAATCCCTACAAATGTAAGGAATGTGGCAAAGCCTTTACTACGCGCTCAAGCCTTGCTGAACATGTGAGAATTCATATTGAAGAGAAGCCTTTCAAATGTAGAGAATGTGGTAAAGTGTTTATTCAACATTCATATCTTACTAGACATGAGTTAATCCATACTGGAGAGAAGGCTTACAAATGTAGAGAATGTGGTAAAGTCTTTACTCAGTGCTCAAGTCTTGCTGTACATATGAGAATTCATACCGGAGAAAAGCCTTACAAATGTAGAGAGTGTGGTAAAACCTTTACTCAACGTTCATATCTTACTAGACATGAGTTAATCCATACTGGAGAGAAGCCTCACAAATGTAGAGAATGTGGTAAAGCCTTTAATAGGCACTCACATCTTACTAGACATAAGTTAATCCATACTGGAGAAAAGCCTTACAAATGTAGAGAATGCGGTAAAGCCTTTAATGAGCATTCACATCTTACTACACATGAGTTAATCCATACTGGAGAGAAGCCTTACAAATGTAGAGAATGTGGCAAAGCTTTTACTCAGCGCTCAAATCTTGCTGCACATAAGAGAATTCACACGGGAGAAAAGACTTTCAAATGTGGAGAATGTGGTAAAGCGTTTATTCAACGTTCATATCTTACTAGACATGAGTTAATCCATAGTGGAGAGAAGCCTTACAAATGTAAAGAATGTGGTAAAGCCTTTTACCTGCGCTCTAAACTTACACTACATGAGAGAATTCATACCAGACAGAAGCCTTACAAATGTAGAGAACGTCGTAAATAAAGCCTTTACTTAGCATGCATTTCTTACTAGGCATGAGAGAATGCATACCGGAGAGAATCCGTACTAATGTGAAAAATGTAGCAAAGCCATTAGTCACCATTTAGAGTTTACTGAACACATAAAAATTGATAATGGAGACAAACCTTAAAAGTGAAGAATTCAAGAAACCCTGTAGCAGGACCTACAGCCTCACTCAATATCAGAGAATGCTTACTGGGGAGAAATCAACATTCAAAATCAACGATGAAAACCCTGTGTTCAAAATACAAACTTCAGAATGTCCGCATAATTCATTCTCCAAAGTGACTTTAAAGATGTAAAATAATGTGAGGAAATGTTTAATAGACAATGAAATCTAAGACATTAGATAATTGACATTACAAAGTAGTCAGTAAAGGAGAGTTTTCAGATATTTTAAATCAATACATATAGTGAATAAGTAAATGTTAAAAAGCTTGTAAATATGCTTGAAAGTGTCATGGGGATGGATGTTGCAAAGGTATAATTATTTACAATCAGTCTTTATATATTGATAGTATTTGAGGTTTGTTGAAAAGGAAATGTTAATGGAATCTCACTGTGAAGTCACTTGATGCTGTTTTTTTACTCCTAGTGTGTGTGAATCATGGGTTGTTTGTTGCTGTCTCAAGCATCTGAGTACCCATGTATGTTGGGTGGGATTCACTCAGAAATACTTTTCCCTGGAAGACTGAGGGCACTGTAATACACAATGTATGATGAAAATCTAAATGGAGATGCTGTTTGGTTGACTTAGAATGTTGATGTAAGTCACCGTGAAGTAGGTGTTCAGGGCATCATTCTCTGCATTAATGTGAGACAGGAACATTCTGAATGGTAATTAGTTTTTGCAGTTCCTCTTTAAGGGAAATTAGGTGGTGGTGTTTGAAACCCTGATGTGTCTTTGTAGTAGCCATAAATGGGAGTCATAAATGTTACCAGATGAGGTTGAAATAAAGAGGTGTTCAGAGATATCTAGGAAGGACATACAACTTATCCCTAAGTGCATAAATTATTGTACATTGTTTCCTAAACAAGGAGCCTCAGTCTTCAAACTCATGGAAAACAGAGCTGTAAGGTCATTATATCAGAACAACCAGAATGCTTCCTAAATTGTTATCTGTATTTTGTGCATGGATCCTACAAGTGGTTTGCCCTGCTTTATTTAGGCTATGTGTGAACTTATATTTACATTAATAATAAAGCAAATGAGTTTTACTGTACTAATAGTGATGTGTAATGAATGACTTGTTATCCTGCCACCAACGTTGACCTCTCCCACCTCAGTCATGGTTGTAATAAAAAACTCAGTATTTGATGATGCAGTGGAATGACAGATCCTTTTCCCTGTGGTTCCAATTTGCAAATGGAAAGAGAACCTTGCTGTCTAGAATGCTAAAGAAAGACTGTTTAAACTAAAGTAAAGGTTAGCAGACATGGGAGCTACATGTGGCTTGAAATGTGCATGAAGCAGCCATTTCCTTGTGTTAGATCATATCATAATTCACTTTTCCCCAATGATAGCAGGATAGATGATGAGTTCATCCATGTGCATAAGGCAGCCGAGACCAATTTGTCCCATCACAGCTGGTGTTACCTTCATCCACTTGGTTCAGGACTTGTGTGCCCCATTCCTCTATGATATTAACAGTTTTCCTATTTTCACTAATGAGGATTTGGGGTATTCACTGAGTATTGTATATAAAGAATAACATTTACTCTTGAAACTCCTTTCTTCTGAGTTAGTCTTTGCTGGATTTTTCTTTAGACCATGAAGGCTTGACCTTTGTTTATTACAGATACTGGTTTTTACAACTGGAGGTTCTCAGGCCTCAGTCCTGTAAGTTTCCCTTTTATTTTAAAGTCACGTCTGAACTACTTTAACTCTTCTTCATGTCTTTGCTTATTTTCAGAAGAAAAAAAAAAGTGAGAGTAATATAGTTAATAAATGTTTGAGTGTCTCCAAACTCTAACATGTAATTCAGCACCATGATAACTGAACAGTTTTTCAGTAACATTTGTACTCACAAATATCTTTTCCCCATTGGGCATGTTTTCCTCCATAGTATTTTTTTAAAACACTCAAAAAACTTCATCCACAAAGAGATGCATAAGTTTCTGCAATTGAAAATATTTCTTAATATCAGTGACTTTGAAATTTTTCCACTGTGTCACTTTTGCCATGTACACAGTTACTTTTTAGGGATATGGATGTGTGCCTAAAACGTAAAACTTATTTGATCAATTCCGTTTTGGACCTTCTTGTTTCCATTGCTCTTCTCAGTTACAAAATCTGCTGTGATAATTTGTTGATGATTTTCTCTGAATATTAGCCTCGTATGTGCCTTTCTTGTAGATAAATTCTAGATCAGAAAAGCTAGGTTAAATCCCAGGTTCTAGTATTTACTGGATAATGAGACAAGTAAAGAGTTAACAGGAGGGGCTGGCCGAGTGGTTAAGAACTGGTTTGGGACCGGCTGGCTGAGTGGCTCAGTTGGTTAAGAGCTCGCTCAAGAATTTGAGCTCTGAGCAACAGTGGTTCGAGTCAGCCCGAGCTGAGCAGCCGTGAGCTGCCAACAGGTGGCGGGATGGCTCAGCTTAAAAAAAAAAAAAAAAAGAACTGGTTTGGGATGCCAGAGGGCCCTGGTTCGGATCCCACATATGAGGGCCAGTGACACTGCCCTCTACAGCTAAGATACTGAACAACAGCTCAACCTGGAGCTGGGCTAACATGGGTTGCCGGCGACGGCTTGGGCTGCAGCCCCTGCTGCAGTGGGTTGCCATGGGCTACCATATGTAGCCAGCAGCCAGCGTGAGCGGCCAGCAGCCGCAGTGAGCGACCGTCCAGAGTCCGGTGACTGATCTGCCTCACCCGGGAAGAGCGCAATGATGGTGCCAGCTTGGGCCAGTGAAGCAACATCCTCCACAACTAGATTGAAGAACAAAAACAACAGCAACTTCTCTGTTCCCCTTCCCCCGATTCCCCAATAAAAAATAAAAAATAAAAAAAAGAGTTAACAGGAGTGTGCTTATGAGCTGGAGAATGGGACAAGCAGAGTTAACAGGAGCAAGCTTGTGAGCTGGCAAGAATGAGCTTAAAAAATAACACCGGTTGGCTCTGAATCCCCTGGGTAACAAGCACCTTACATCCATCATAGGTGGGAACAGGACAGTCCCCAGAAGAAGACAATTGTAACGGCAGCCTCCCTGCATGGTGACAAGCACCCTACACCCTCCACTGAAAAATATATAACTTGCTAGACAGAAGCCTGCCACAGCTGTCTCTATCGGACTCTCCCCTGGCAAACTCCCTTTGTCAGTATTGCTCTTACCCCTCTGTCTCTGCAGCTGTCCCTACTGGACTCTGCCTTTGCAAAACTCCCTTTGCCAGTGTTTCTCTTCCAAACAGAAGTCTCTACCTGACTTTCCACAAACTTTCTTACTCTTCTATTTTCTACACTCGTGAATTCCTTCACATTGTGTGAACGACCATAGATTAATTCTACACCAATACACTGGATTTGGAAAATATAAAAGAAAAATAATATTGCTCACATAGACTATTTTTTGTACTTTTAAGCATTAATATTAGAAAAAGTTAGAATATTGTCTCAGGATATCCAAAATTCATAAAGGAATGGTCCGCCATTATTGCTATTACAGAAGAACCTTTCATTCCTGTGAAGTTCTTTCCAAGTCATTCATCAGGTCTTGCCATGTGTTTTAGCGCTTTGATATTAAAAAGTGTGGCGCTGGGACCAAAGACATTAGCATGAGTGGCCAGAATATTAGAAATGCAGAAACTTAGGCCTCACCCCAGAACTTCTGCATCAGAACCTGCATTGTAATAAATATCCAGTTCATTGTTTTACACGTTTCAATTTGAGAAACACACTTCAAACCCACCATGAATTGCCCATATGAGGTATACATACTCAAAAATATATGTGCTTCTGTTGAAGTCTTAATTGTTTTCTTTTCCCCTAAGTGCATTATCTATGGTGAGTTTTTCTATCTATGTCATTCATTTCTTTTAATTAGGAAAATATTAGAGAATATTACCATGTTGAAAGTACTCCTAATTTTATATTTCAGAATTGGATTCGCCTACCTCAAAACCACTTCTCAACTCTTTTCATCATTGGTCAAAGTATGAACTGTGTCCATGACCACTTGGTACATGTGTTATTTACTTTAGAGACAATTGACATTCAGGGCTGTGGCCATAGAATTCCCCAGGAGGAGTGGGAAATCCTAGGCCTCAGTGGGATTTGTACCTGAACGTGATGTTGGAAAACTCCAGGAACCTGGTCTCCCTGTGTGAGGAGGCCTCCTTCCAGAATTCCTACCCCATCTGCTGGGCTCAGTTTCTTTCATTTGTAGAATGTCTCCTGGGTTGTCTGCTTCATGTGACTGAATTTGTGACCCTCTTTAAAGGAAGTGATTTGACTTAAAGTCTTGAACTTGCTTCATCTTGACCATCACCTTCCTCTTTTTGTGAGGTGATCTGCATCCTCCACTTTACATTAGGGAGAATCATAGAAACTCAGTGACATAAAGTATTGTTGCCAACATCTTAAACTCCAATTTCCACCCCTTATGTCTGAGTCCATATTAGTACTTTGATGCGGAGTTCAGGCTGTAAATTGAAAATGCTTTTAAGCATCATAAAGGGGCTGTCAGGAAACTGGGGAAGTAATTTCCTATATGCTTCTATGATGTCCTCTCTTCTCTACTGACCACAATACTGGGTGGAAATTGTACAGAATCTCCAGCAAGAGTCAGGTTATTTTTTCTAATAAACTGGTGTCATTGTCTCAAACCCAAACCTGGCCACATATTTGGAGCAAAGGAAAAAGCCCTAAGAAGTGGAGACATTAGCCTTCCACCCATGGGAATAAAAGCAGATGACACAGGTGAGAGGGGCAAAGGTCAAGGAGGAAGCCCTCCCCCCCCCCCCCTTCAAGTGTGGTTTGAGAAGATCTGCTTCAAAGGCAATGATTTTGTGAAGCCCAGGGTTCTTTCTGTTGTCACAGAGAAACATATCCTGTCCCACTCTGATCCTGCTCTACGTCTTCTAATGACGCTTTTGCTCCAGAAACCTTTCAGGACATTCAAGTGAGAGCCAAAGCCCCCCCACAGCCAGTGAGGGCCTGCATAGACTCACTGTATATTCACTGCTTTTGTGCACATCTGGAATTCCTACATGAAGGCCAATGTGTGAGTGTCCCTTCCCCAGTCTTTGAGTGCCCTTGCGTGCTAGAGATAATTTGCTACACCCTAAGGAATGTGGGTTACACTGACTCTCTGCTACCAAAACATAAGCAGAGCAGGCCTCCCCATGGAGCCTTCCCCATGGACCAGACCCTGGAACGAGGCCATGAAATGTCCTTGGGGTCCTCCCAGTGTTTAACCCTGTCCTCACGGTAGAATATCCTGGGCTACTCCATGAAGATACTCTTGGTGCTGGGCCCTGCCACACACTAATGAAGAATCTCTGGGGTGGAGACAGAAGATGGTAGTTCTAAAACCACACAGGGCATGCCATCGGGAAGTCAAGGCTGAGAACGACTTTGCTAACCAAAGCTCACCAAACATTCATGCACTTACAAATCACTGCAGATGCCTTTCTGGGGCTCCACACTCAGACATTATACCTCCCCAGGTCTGAGGTGAGGCTGTTTAACTTGCCTTTTTAACCACCACTGAGGTGCCTCTCCCAAGAACTCATTTTCAACATCTAGTCGGAGAAAGCAAGGTCCCCTGAGTGCCTTACACCCAACTCCATCTCAACGCAATACTCGTTCCCAGTGAAGGTCACATTCTCTGCTCACTGTGTGCTAGTTGAGAGGGCACAGAGCGGGCAGTGGTGTTTGAGTAAGGGTGTGTGTGTGGGATAAAAGCATTCACTCGTTCCTGAAAGCAGAGTTAATTGAGGACGACTTCCTCTGAGAGCCCCTGAGAAATAAACTTATTTCCCACAGATCTTTCCCATTTCAGGACACTTTCTGCACCAGCAGTGGAGCGGCTTGCTCTGTGCCCACATGATCTCTTACTTGTGTTCACGGCTCTATTCATTTCCACCTCCTTTGATTTTCCCCTTTACTTTGCAGTTCCAGGGTTGTTTTTCTTGTTGCAAAGTGGAGATCAAATTTAGCTCCAAACACTTCTCAATTTATAAATAAGAATAGAACATGATATGCTAGGCTTTTCCAAAACACAT